TATAGAAAAAACTTCATCCTGTGACCAGTCGACTTTTTTTCTATAGAAAAAACTTCATCCTGTGACCAGTCGAATTTTTTTCTATAGAAAAAAATGCGTACTGTGGCCAGTCGAATTTTTTCCTATAGAAAAAACTTCATACTGTGGCCAGTCGAATTTTTTTCTATAGAAAAAACTTCATACTGTGGCCAGTCGATTTTTTTTCTATAGAAAAAACTTCATACTGTGGCCAGTCGAATTTTTTTCTATAGAAAAAACTTCATACTGTGGCCAGTCGAATTTTTTTCTATAGAAAAAACTTCATACTGTGGCCAGTCGAATTTTTTTCTATAGAAAAAACTTCATACTGTGGCCAGTCGAATTTTTTTCTATAGAAAAAACTTCATACTGTGGCCAGTCGAATTTTTTTCTATAGAAAAAACTTCATACTGTGGCCAGTCGAATTTTTTTCTATAGAAAAAACTTCATACTGTGGCCAGTCGAATTTTTTCTATAGAAAAAACTTCATACTGTGGCCAGTCGAATTTTTTGCTATAGAAAAAACTTCATACTGTGGCCAGTCGAATTTTTTTCTATAGAAAAAACTTCATACTGTGGCCAGTCGAATTTTTTTTCTATCGAAAAAACTTCCTCCTGTGGCCAGTCGAATTTTTTTTCTATCGAAAAAACTTCCTCCTGTGGCCAGTCGAATTTTTTTTCTATCGAAAAAACTTCCTCCTGTGGCCAGGCGAATTTTTTTTCTATCGAAAAAACTTCCTCCTGTGGCCAGGCGAATTTTTTCTTAAAGAAAAAACTTCCTCCTGTGGCCAGTCGAATTTTTTTCTATCGAAAAAACTTCCTCCTGTGGCCAGTCGAATTTTTTTCTATCGAAAAAACTTCCTCCTGTGGCCAGTCGAATTTTTTTCTATCGAAAAAACTTCCTCCTGTGGCCAGTCGAATTTTTTTCTATCGAAAAAACTTCCTCCTGTGGCCAGTCGAATTTTTTTCTATCGAAAAAACTTCCTCCTGTGGCCAGTCGAATTTTTTTCTATCGAAAAAACTTCCTCCTGTGGCCAGTCGAATTTTTTTCTATCGAAAAAACTTCCTCCTGTGGCCAGTCGAATTTTTTTCTATCGAAAAAACTTCCTCCTGTGGCCAGTCGAATTTTTTTCTATCGAAAAAACTTCCTCCTGTGGCCAGTCGAATTTTTTTCTATCGAAAAAACTTCATACTGTGGCCAGTCGAATTTTTTTCTATAGAAAAAACTTCATACTGTGGCCAGTCGAATTTTTTTCTATAGAAAAAACTTCATACTGTGGCCAGTCGAATTTTTTTCATACTGTGGCCAGTCGAATTTTTTTCTATAGAAAAAACTTCATACTGTGGCCAGTCGAATTTTTTTCTATAGAAAAAACTTCATACTGTGGCCAGTCGAATTTTTTTCTATAGAAAAAACTTCATACTGTGGCCAGTCGAATTTTTTTCTATAGAAAAAGCTTCATACTGTGGCCAGTCGAATTTTTTTCTATAGAAAAAACTTCATACTGTGGCCAGTCGAATTTTTTTCTATAGAAAAAACTTCATACTGTGGCCAGTCGAATTTTTTTCTATAGAAAAAACTTCATACTGTGGCCAGTCGAATTTTTTTCTATAGAAAAAACTTCATACTGTGGCCAGTCGAATTTTTTTCTATAGAAAAAACTTCATACTGTGGCCAGTCGAATTTTTTTCTATAGAAAAAACTTCATACTGTGGCCAGTCGAATTTTTTTCTATAGAAAAAACTTCATACTGTGGCCAGTCGAATTTTTTTCTATAGAAAAAAACTTCATACTGTGGCCAGTCGAATTTTTTTCTATAGAAAAAACTTCATACTGTGGCCAGTCGAATTTTTTTCTATAGAAAAAACTTCCTCCTGTGGCCAGTCGAATTTTTTTTCTATCGAAAAAACTTCCTCCTGTGGCCAGGCGAATTTTTTTTCTATCGAAAAAACTTCCTCCTGTGGCCAGGCGAATTTTTTCTTAAAGAAAAAACTTCCTCCTGTGGCCAGTCGAATTTTTTTCTATCGAAAAAACTTCCTCCTGTGGCCAGTCGAATTTTTTTCTATCGAAAAAACTTCCTCCTGTGATGAAGTTTTTTCTATAGAAAAAAATTCGTCTGGCCACAGGATGATGAAGTTTTTTCTATAGAAAAAAATTCGTCTGGCCACAGGATGATGAAGTTTTTTCTATAGAAAAAACTCCCTCCTGTGGCCAAGTGAATTTTTTTCTATAGAAAAAACTCCCTCCTGTGGCCAAGTGAATTTTTTTCTATAGAAAAAACTCCCTCCTTTGGCCAAGTGAATTTTTTTCTATAGAAAAAACTTCATCCTGTGACCAGTCGACTTTTTTTCTATAGAAAAAACTTCATCCTGTGACCAGTCGAATTTTTTTCTATAGAAAAAAATGCATACTGTGGCCAGTCGAATTTTTTCCTATAGAAAAAACTTCATACTGTGGCCAGTCGAATTTTTTTCTATAGAAAAAACTTCATCCTGTGACCAGTCGAATTTTTTTCTATAGAAAAAAATGCATACTGTGGCCAGTCGAATTTTTTTCTATAGAAAAAACTTCATACTGTGGCCAGTCGAATTTTTTTCTATAGAAAAAACTTCATACTGTGGCCAGTCGAATTTTTTTCTATAGAAAAAACTTCATACTGTGGCCAGTCGAATTTTTTTCTATAGAAAAAACTTCATACTGTGGCCAGTCGAATTTTTTTCTATAGAAAAAACTTCATACTGTGGCCAGTCGAATTTTTTTCTATAGAAAAAACTTCATACTGTGGCCAGTCGAATTTTTTTCTATAGAAAAAACTTCATACTGTGGCCAGTCGAATTTTTTTTCTATCGAAAAAACTTCCTCCTGTGGCCAGTCGAATTTTTTTTCTATCGAAAAAACTTCCTCCTGTGGCCAGGCGAATTTTTTTTCTATCGAAAAAACTTCCTCCTGTGGCCAGGCGAATTTTTTCTTAAAGAAAAAACTTCCTCCTGTGGCCAGTCGAATTTTTTTCTATCGAAAAAACTTCCTCCTGTGGCCAGTCGAATTTTTTTCTATCGAAAAAACTTCCTCCTGTGGCCAGTCGAATTTTTTTCTATCGAAAAAACTTCCTCCTGTGGCCAGTCGAATTTTTTTCTATCGAAAAAACTTCCTCCTGTGGCCAGTCGAATTTTTTTCTATCGAAAAAACTTCCTCCTGTGGCCAGTCGAATTTTTTTCTATCGAAAAAACTTCCTCCTGTGGCCAGTCGAATTTTTTTCTATCGAAAAAACTTCCTCCTGTGGCCAGTCGAATTTTTTTCTATCGAAAAAACTTCCTCCTGTGGCCAGTCGAATTTTTTTCTATCGAAAAAACTTCCTCCTGTGGCCAGTCGAATTTTTTTCTATAGAAAAAACTTCATACTGTGGCCAGTCGAATTTTTTTCTATAGAAAAAACTTCATACTGTGGCCAGTCGAATTTTTTTCTATAGAAAAAACTTCATACTGTGGCCAGTCGAATTTTTTTCTATAGAAAAAACTTCATACTGTGGCCAGTCGAATTTTTTTCTATAGAAAAAACTTCATACTGTGGCCAGTCGAATTTTTTTCTATAGAAAAAACTTCATACTGTGGCCAGTCGAATTTTTTTCATACTGTGGCCAGTCGAATTTTTTTCTATAGAAAAAACTTCATACTGTGGCCAGTCGAATTTTTTTCTATAGAAAAAACTTCATACTGTGGCCAGTCGAATTTTTTTCTATAGAAAAAACTTCATACTGTGGCCAGTCGAATTTTTTTCTATAGAAAAAACTTCATACTGTGGCCAGTCGAATTTTTTTCTATAGAAAAAACTTCATACTGTGGCCAGTCGAATTTTTTTCTATAGAAAAAACTTCATACTGTGGCCAGTCGAATTTTTTTCTATAGAAAAAACTTCATACTGTGGCCAGTCGAATTTTTTTCTATAGAAAAAACTTCATACTGTGGCCAGTCGAATTTTTTTCTATAGAAAAAACTTCATACTGTGGCCAGTCGAATTTTTTTCTATAGAAAAAACTTCATACTGTGGCCAGTCGAATTTTTTTCTATAGAAAAAACTTCCTCCTGTGGCCAGTCGAATTTTTTTTCTATCGAAAAAACTTCCTCCTGTGGCCAGGCGAATTTTTTTTCTATCGAAAAAACTTCCTCCTGTGGCCAGGCGAATTTTTTCTTAAAGAAAAAACTTCCTCCTGTGGCCAGTCGAATTTTTTTCTATCGAAAAAACTTCCTCCTGTGGCCAGTCGAATTTTTTTCTATCGAAAAAACTTCCTCCTGTGGCCAGTCGAATTTTTTTCTATCGAAAAAATTTCCTCCTGTGGCCAGTCGAATTTTTTTCTATCGAAAAAACTTCCTCCTGTGGCCAGTCGAATTTTTTTCTATCGAAAAAAACTTCCTCCTGTGGCCAGTCGAATTTTTTTCTATCGAAAAAACTTCCTCCTGTGGCCAGTCGAATTTTTTTCTATCGAAAAAACTTCCTCCTGTGGCCAGGCGATATTTTTTTCGAAAAAATTTTGGCACAAAATAAAACATTTATTAAAAATCATATCACTCCGAACATAAGCCAGACTTGAGACATACTTACCCAATATTTGACATATTGCAAACATATTGTGTGTGACCCTGCCAACAACTGCCACTGATGTCTAAGTTTTAGAATGTCTTTGAAAGTTTGACACAAAAGTGTTAAAAACCAACAACAATTGTTTTCAATTGTTATTGATTTGTTTTTGTTGTTGCATGAGCCAAGTACTGCTTAGCTGTTTGGTTTATTAGGTCATACTCATGGCCCGTATATAATAAAATCTCACACTCACATACAATACAGTTGATTGTTTTACAACAACAATAACAACAAGAAAAACCACAATAACAATATCAAAACATTGATAACCCAATAACAACCATAATTCCACTTTCAAATTATTGATTTACCATTTCATTGTCTTTGTTTTCTCCCCCTCCTCCAGGCAGCCAAACGTTTGGATGAGCCTCAGGCGAAAATAAACAACATCAAAGACCAGCAGGAACAATGCGAAGTGAGATTGGAAAAGGAACGCGATATGTGGGCGGCACAAATGTTTGAACTGATTGCCAAAGAAGATGTCATAGTCCATTGTATACGGGACTATGTGCTCAACCAAAGAAACTATCATGAACGTGCTCTGCACAAAGTCAACACCTCACTGGCCAATATTCAGGATATTATTGAGTCAACAGTCAAGTCACGATTCGGTACCTCACTCAACGATCATTTGGCCTCGACGAATCGTCAAATATCCTACATCATTGAGTTGTGTGTGTGCTGCTTGGTCGAGAATGGCCTGCACGAGGAGGGTCTGTTGCGGGTGGGCTGTGCCAGTACCAAACTGCGACGCATGAAACATGCTCTGGAGGCACAACATGTCAAAACCCCACTCTCTGTGGACTATCAAGACCCGCATGTTATCGGGTCCATACTCAAATTGTATTTGCGAGAGTTACCCGAACCGTTGCTGACATTTAAACATTACGATGATTTTATCCGGACCGTGGAAAGGCATTCGGAACAGGAACGCAAGGCTGCCATTAAGGCCACATTGGAAAAATTGCCCAAGGCAAATTATGACAACTTACGTTATCTCACCAAATTCCTGTGGTTGGTTACCCAAAATGTGGAATACAATAAAATGAGTTCGCACAATTTGGCCATTGTCATGTCACCGAATATGCTGTGGCCACGCCGAGATGAAAACAATCCCGACGACTATATGGGCCAGGTGAATAGTTCATCGGCCGTCAATATCATTATCGATCTGATGATTAATCATTGGGACTATTTCTTTGAGGGTGATGTGGATTTCTTTGTTACCCTGCAGCGGGGTAAATTGTACATGGAGGATAAAAGCAAATCGAATTCTTCCAATGAGAATTTGGATCGTCATGACAATGGTGAGTAGTGAATAGAATATACATTGTTCCCAATAAGCTTTTAATGTTTTCTTATATTTTGCTTTTGGTTAAGGTTATTATTGGCACATGTTTTAGTGTCGTTTCTATCTACTTCTACTACTCCTCTCCTTGTTGTTTGCTGTTGTTGTCTGTCCGCTTGGAACGCTTTGAGTATTTTATTTTTTTTTTTAATTATGTATTCATATTTTGTATTTATAGTTTCGATTATTTTTAAGTTTTGTATTATTTTTTTATATATATTTTTGTATTATATAATGTAGTAGAACCCCTTTATTGTTAACTACCAATAACTATATTTTTGTATAGTCAAGACTTACCATAAATATTTGTAAAAAACACAAAAATATCTGACAATATTAAAATAAGCTTTCGCAATATTAAACCAAGCCCCTAACAACCCTATTTTGTTTCTAACTTCGAGTTTTCTTTTATATTAAACCTACCAAATTGCTTCTAACTATACTGTAAGTAATTTCTGTTTAAGAAATAATAGTATCTTGTCAACGAATGATGTCCAATTCTACTTTTTTGTTACTTTCAAAACACCTCTAATTATTCGCTGAAGGCCTCATATAGTATTTGCAAACCCAAATCAACGTAGAATTCTAAAAATACGTTGAAGTTTTACAAAAGCACTTGTATTAATCCTGGAAGCAATATCCCACCTTTTGGCATTTCGCTGTCAAATGGATAGAGAAGTTTTTGAGTAAAACAATACTGTCAATTTTTTCTTTAAATGCCTTTAAAATTTAAAAAATTTTAAAAAGTGAGCCTTTTGTCCAAAGTTTTAGTTTCCTTCTGTGTACCCCAACACAAGCGGGAAGAATTATATATTTTTTTTTTCGGGGGATAATTTACGTCTCTGGACATCGTTAGATTTTATTATAAAAAATATAAGGTTCCAGGATCCATTTGACACATAGATAGTCGCTGGTAAAGTTTTTCCCGATATACCGAGGGTCTAAAGCAGTTCTACTGTCCAATAGGAAATATAGCTACTCGAAAGTACGTTTCTCATCGTAGAAGAAGGCACGGCAACCGTGGACCTACATAAGGAACTTCGTCCGTTTCACTCGTCTCTCCTAGACATTAAGAGAGCATGAATTATAATTATGCGGACTGCTTACCACCGACACTGATCAAAGTATTATACCACTTAAGGACAAGTCTGTCAATAGCATTCAGAGATGTTTGACTCCTCTGAAAATGGAAGAATTTCGAATCTAAGAGTAAAAAAGTGGACAATCTAGCCCCATTCATCATTTAAAGTCTCACATGGCGTAAAATCTAACCTGCTTGTCTTCAGAGAAAATTCGCTTAATTCAGATTCTTGTAAGATTAAATCTACTGTTCCAAAGGCTCAAGGGACCGTATATTGCTCCCAATTCTTTTCTCAGTAATAGTCAATACAAATCGAAAGTTTATTTAATAATAGGCCGAAACCCCACGTCATTTGGAAGAGTACGTTTTTCACGGTGGGCACGATAATCTCAGCACCTAGAGAAGAACTTGAATAGTAATTATACGACCTGCTTATTGCCGACTCTTGATCATATTAATATACAACTCAAGGATAAATCTGAAATAGACCTAAATGTCACAGTCATCCAGAGGCAGACTCCGCTTAAAATGTAAATATTTCTAATCAAAGACTAAAAGTTAAACAATCTAGTCCTATTCTTCCCCAGTTTTAAGAAAGTTTATGCCATGGCGTGTCTTAGCATAGAAATCTGATCTTGAGATCCTTTTTTCTAACGTTGGATTTAATTTTCTAGGTTGTCTCCTGCTTTTAATTTAAGATGATTTTTTCAATAGAAAAAAATTCGCCTGGCCAAAGGACGAAGTTTCTTCAATAGAAAAAAATTCGCCTGGCCACAGGACGAAGTTTTTTCAATAGAAAAAAATTCGCCTGGCCACAGGACGAAGTTTTTTCAATAGAAAAAAATTCGCCTGGCCACAGGACGAAGTTTTTTTCAATAGAAAAAAATTCGCCTGGCCACAGGACGAAGTTTTTTTCAATAGAAAAAAATTCGCCTGGCCACAGGACGAAGTTTTTTTCAATAGAAAAAAATTCGCCTGGCCACAGGACGAAGTTTTTTTCAATAGAAAAAAATTCGCCTGGCCACAGGACGAAGTTTTTTTCAATAGAAAAAAATTCGCCTGGCCACAGGACGAAGTTTTTTTCAATAGAAAAAAATTCGCCTGGCCACAGGACGAAGTTTTTTTCAATAGAAAAAAATTCGCCTGGCCACAGGACGAAGTTTTTTTCAATAGAAAAAAATTCGCCTGGCCACAGGACGAAGTTTTTTTCAATAGAAAAAAATTCGCCTGGCCACAGGACGAAGTTTTTTTCAATAGAAAAAAATTCGCCTGGCCACAGGACGAAGTTTTTTTCAATAGAAAAAAATTCGCCTGGCCACAGGACGAAGTTTTTTTCAATAGAAAAAAATTCGCCTGGCCACAGGACGAAGTTTTTTTCAATAGAAAAAAATTCGCCTGGCCACAGGACGAAGTTTTTTTCAATAGAAAAAAATTCGCCTGGCCACAGGACGAAGTTTTTTTCAATAGAAAAAAATTCGCCTGGCCACAGGACGAAGTTTTTTTCAATAGAAAAAAATTCGCCTGGCCACAGGACGAAGTTTTTTTCAATAGAAAAAAATTCGCCTGGCCACAGGACGAAGTTTTTTTCAATAGAAAAAAAATTCGCCTGGCCACAGGACGAAGTTTTTTTCAATAGAAAAAAAATTCGCCTGGCCACAGGACGATGTTTTTTTCAATAGAAAAAAATTCGCCTGGCCACAGGACGAAGTTTTTTTCAATAGAAAAAAATTCGCCTGGCCACAGGACGAAGTTTTTTTCAATAGAAAAAAATTCGCCTGGCCACAGGACGAAGTTTTTTTCAATAGAAAAAAATTCGCCTGGCCACAGGACGAAGTTTTTTTCAATAGAAAAAAATTCGCCTGGCCACAGGACGAAGTTTTTTTCAATAGAAAAAAAATCGCCTGGCCACAGGACGAAGTTTTTTTCAATAGAAAAAAATTCGCCTGGCCACAGGACGAAGTTTTTTTCAATAGAAAAAAATTCGCCTGGCCACAGGACGAAGTTTTTTTCAATAGAAAAAAATTCGCCTGGCCACAGGACGAAGTTTTTTTCAATAGAAAAAAAATTCGCCTGGCCACAGGACGAAGTTTTTTTCAATAGAAAAAAAATTCGCCTGGCCACAGGACGAAGTTTTTTTAATAGAAAAAAAATCGCCTGGCTAAAATATCGTATATTGTCGATTAACGATTTAGTTTTGGCTTGTAACACCATTAAGGTTGTCTTGGTAATTTACTCTAGAAATCAAATGTTAACACCCCAAGATACGCTTTGTCTTAGATCAAGCTAATAACATAAATTACACCAAATCACTCACACTCTAAAAATTCAATATTCTTCTTTTTCAGATGTTGCCGAAAGTCCACGTTACGGTACGATTAGACGGCAGAAGCCCTGTGCACCATCGCCTCCCATGAAACTGCAAAATTTAATGGTTAGTTCCGATCCCAATGGTAGCAACACAACGGAGGCAAGCAAAAACAATGGAGAGCAACACAATAATCACCAAAGAGCCAAGGAATTATTTCCTTCCAATGCGGACGGTGGTAATAGTCAACAGAATAATATTTCACCCAATAACAATAATGGCCATAGTGAAAAACCTGAGATTCCTCCATTACCCAAACAACTGATACTGCAGCAACAACAACAACACCAGGACAATTCATCGACAAATGCAAATAACATAAGTGGCCCCCAGCAAAATACTGGTCCACCGCCACCGTTATCTGCCAAACCCGTACCCATGACACGTACCCAATTCTTTGGTTTAGATACCTTGCCCTCACCCACAGCTGATCGTAAGAGTAATGACAGTGTCAATTCGTTGACCTTCAAACCAGATCTCCCACAAAAGCCAAAAATTCCCAAACGGCCAATGGTCTTGGGCCTGACATCCGTTACAACAACAACAACGAACGCCAGCAATCGGGGAAGTGATGATGAATCCACCATGGCGACGACAACACAAATTAATAATGCCACAACAAATGGTTCATTCCGAGGCAATAAAACAGCCGAACAATTGGTGCAGGAACATTGTGATAATGTAACAGCCTTACAGGCCAACATAGGCAGTAGTAACACCTCCATACCCTCAGCCATATTAAAGGAGGCCAATCATAACAATCATAATTCGGCAACGCATGATGCTGTCAATGCCAATCAGCAGCCACCACCACCATCTGTAGTCAATAAATTGACAACATTTAGTTATAACACCCCCTCGGCCACCAACAACCTCCTTCACACATCCCAATCCTCCGCAAATTCCAATCAGCACAATGTTGGTAGTAGTGGTGATCAAAATCAGAAAACCGCAATGGAGACAACGCGTCTAACGCCCACCACCCCGGTATCACCCAATATGATAATGACTCCCAAACGACCAACAGTGCCTGCTCCACCCCCGCCTGTTATTGTTAAGAAACCCGTAGAATAAGATGCACTATTTTAGTTTAGTGATCCGTGATTTACATTTTTCATTTATGTTTTGAGTGTTTTTTGTTGTGCGTACGCATTTCTCTTCGTTTTGCACTTCAAAATTAATTTTGAAGAAAAGGCTGGATTTGTTTTCGCAAAATTGAGAAAAATGAAAGGGAAAGTTTTATATTTACAGGATATTAATATCATACGAAAGATAAATACATTATTCTGTATTCTTTTATTACTTGGAAGTATTCAAACCAGGAGTTTTAAAAATTTTTAATCTGCTAAAGCAACAAAGTAAGCTTAGGTCCGAAAAACAATTCTAACTAGCCATGTAATTTTATAAAAATAATATTTTAAGTCAACTGAGTAATTGGGATGACCCAGTGAAGATTTTGTAAAATTTTCCTTTGGGTCATTGAATAACTCTTTTAAATTCGTTTTACAAAATTTTTGAAAATATGTAAATAAAACGAGCAAATTATAATATTTAAATATATTAAAGCATGTCTCTTATAAACGCCGCTTTATTTCCCTAAAGAAAGGTTATGTTTAAATTGACAACAAAAAAATCGCTCAATGTCAATGTTCCTGGGGCGAACAATAAAGTCAAACTCAAATAGAATTTTAATAAATCAATTTAAAATTGATGTTCAGAGATTGGGTTTTAGTTTAGACGTGAGGTTACGGACCATATCACCTCTTTAAAATCTCTGCTCCATGTTCAGAGATTGGGGTTAAGTTTTAAACTAAAAAAATGTGAGGTTACGGACCACATTAACCTCTTTCCACATTAATCTCCGTTCCATGTTCCAAAAATAATGTCCCAAACTAAAAAAAAAAACTGAAATTATGGACCATATTAATATTTTATTTAATAAATTTGTTATCTAAATTTTAATTAATTTTAAATTCGATATATCTTTTAAGATGCCTTTATTTCTTTTTTAAAAAGTGATGCTATTTTCATTTCTTTTTTTAAATTTTACTTACAAAAATTTGATGTCGTGGACTCAAATAGAAAACTCTAAACATGTACCTAATCTGTCCTTATAAAGTACTGAACGTTTTTTCTAAGAGGACTATAAAAAATGAGACATGGATTTATGCAGAGAGGCCAATGTACATTTAGGGTTCACTTTTGAAGGAAATACGTTGACCTGTTTTATGCAATTAGTGTTTCTCTAGGAAACTTCAAAACGTCTTTCCAAAGAAATAAAAAATAGTGATATTTTTGTACTCTGTAAACCGTAAAAGGTGGATTGTTCTCGGGCTGTAAACTATCTAGTCGGCCATACCTTGTAATTATTGTAGCATGGTCCTAGAAACGTCCCAGAACAAAATTTCTTTATTACGAACACACAAATTGTTCCCCATTTCCACTTTTATGCCCTCCACCATAGTATGGATCAAATATTACGTTGTCCCTCGAATGTATATTTTAAACCCACAAGGTATTTATATTTTTGATCAGCTTAAATTTCTAAGTCGATATAAGGATGTCCGTATGTCTGTTTGTCCAGCCGTCTGTGGAAATCACTTTGGCTTCCGAACGAAATGAATTAGGTTGATAAAATTTTACTCAGGTGTATTTTTTATCTGGAGAATTTTTGCAAATGGGTCATGTAGGCGCATTTAAGAGTTTTTTGTTCTAGTCACAATTTTGAACCGAATTTGCTGTAAATTAATAGTTTGTGTTTCCAGTACAAAGAAAATGACTATATAGTCCCAGGTGCATAAAACTGACTATATGGGTGTAAGTTTAGGTATAACTCTTATAAAACTGTAGACACACTTTCCACGAATAATTTCAAATTCGCAATGGGCACTAGTTCCTATTCCTCTTTCCTTTACAGGAAATTTGCTTTGCGTAACCCCCATATAACGATACATAAAAATATTCGGTATTTTGATGATTTTAGCCTCATTATACCCTACACCACAAGGTGGTCAGGGTATTATGTCTTTGTTTTGTAACAGGTGAAAGGAAACGAGATAGACCCATAGTTTCTTTTGATGATCTGCATAGAATCACATTCTGAGTCGATTTATGCATGTCCGTCCGTCAGTCCATGTATTTTTGTGAACAAAGTACAGTTCGCATCTATTACCCAATCCAGATGGAATTTTACACAAATCATTTGTTTGGCCCAAGGACGAACCCTATTGAAATTGGAGATAATAAGTCAAAAAAAAAAAAAAAAAATAGCTCCCAAATATATCTTCGCCCGATTTGCTTTTTTGTGTGCACCAAACGTGTACAATCAGCCCGAATAGTATGGAATTTTGCATATACCACCAAATTAAGCCTGAAAATAAGTATGCCAAATTTGATCGAAATCGATTCAGATATAGCTAAAGCTAATTTGGTCCCTAGAGTCTCTCCCCCTAAAAATGTCCTTCAAAACCATCAGGGTTGTAATTGCCGGCAATGCCTTTCCTTTTTCAATTTTTCTCACAAATCCAGCCTTTCTAATTTTTGTTTCGTGTTCTGTTTCTATTGCTACAATTTCGAAATGAAAAAAAAAAAAACTGAGTCCTTATAGTTTCTAAAACCAACCCATCTACCTTTAATTGTTTTTTAATGCTTTTTAATTTTTTTTTATTCCATGTTCCTTTTAAGTTTTTGTATAAATATTTTAAGCAAAAAAAAAAAATAATAACTTCAGTTTACTTAACGCACAATAATGCTAAGAAGACAAAGAAGGGCAAAACAATTTCTTTTTTTGAAAAAAAAAAAACTATAAAAAATTTCTAAAATAATTTTTATTAAAAAACTAATGAAAATGTAAAAGAAGTATTCTTCTAAAATAACAAACAGCTGTAAAATTTGTACAATTTGATTCGAATGGATTTAAATGAGTTATGACTTGGTTTCTACGCAAATGATTAATTAAATTTTGATTTTGAATCGTTAAAATTAATGGCATGTTCCCCTATGGCGATACGAAAGTAAATTCGAATGAAACACATAAATTAAAAAAAATCCAAAATAATTGAAATGAGTGAAAAAATCTGTCCGGCCGAGCCGAACTTTAAAAACCCTCTACCATTTGGAACGTATTTGGCAAAAAAATAAAATCCGTTAAAAAATCTTAAAAATACCGAATGTAGCCGTTATATTAGGGTCTATACGACGATGTGGGCCTGCGTAGGCAACTTTTGTCATAAACCAATGCAATATTCACATGCAAAATTTGAAAAAAAAATCGGTGAAAAATGTCGCTAAAATCATCAAAATACCGTATATCGGTAGGTACCATTATGTGAGGGCTATACGAAGAGTTTAACCTTCACAGAAAATTTTCTGTCATAGGCTGTAGTATCCATTACGAACTTCAAATACCAAATTTTGAAACAATTCCGGTGAATAATGTCGCTAAAATCATCAAAATACCGAATATCGGGAGGTACAGTTATATCAGAGCTATACGAAGACGTTGACCTGCAGGGAAAGTTTTCTGTCATAGGCCGTAAAATCCAATACGAACTTCAAATAAAAAATTCGAAACAATTTCGGTGAATAATGTCGCTTAAATCACCAAAATACCGAAAATATGGGGGGTATACGAAGGCCTGGACATGCATGGCCCATTTCCAATACCAAAAGTCCTGCAGAAATATAATACATTTGAGTAAAAGTTTATCAACCAACTTCATTTCGTTCGGAAACTAGAGTGATTTCCACAGACGGACGGTAATCGCGAAATCTACATAGAATTTTATGCTGATCGAGACATTTGTACTTTGAGAGGTCTAAAATGTATGTTTCGAGGTATTATAAACGGCATGACAAACTTAATATACCCTCCATACTATGGTGGATGGTATAAAAGGAAACATCCAAGGAATGGCTGTTTTTTCTTTTGAGTTCTCTTTTGTATTGCCATAGAGAAATAAGCCATTAATTTTAAGGACTCAGGAATAATTTTTTTTATATATTTATTAATTCATTGAAAATCATAATTGAGAAATCATTCGTTTCAAATTTTCCAAAAATCGTAGGCTGTTACAAAAAACTCATTGGCATTTGAAGAAAGCATTTTTCTCAGACAACAAGAAAACCGAAAGCAATTTATTCAGCATCATCACAATAATATACATATACATATGAGGAAATTATAATAAGACATATAAAATAAAATGATGATTCATAAAACATTAAGTGCTATATATTATTACTATTATTTATAAATAAATAATACATTTTTTTTTAAATTGCTTATATTACTAAAAACAAACCAACTACATTTGCTGTCATAGTCATATCTTTAATGAATTATATTTATATACTTTCTATATATATACATACTAAAAAATATATACATACTATAACTCTGTCATAATACATAAAACATATATAATACATCATTAATTACAATATATAAATATTTTCAAATAGTAATACAACAAATCTTATACTTTGATGCGTATTTGATTCGCATTATCATCAAGAATATGTAATACGAAGAAAAGAAATGACATTATTCAAACAAACACACATATATATTTAACACATTTAGTACATATACATATAGACCATGTGTATGTTTCGTATATTAACTAATAACTACATAATAATATTAAATAAAAATATTTATATATCTACTATGAAAAACAAACTATTATCAATGTCTGTATGTCTGTCAAAATAAAAAGTTGACTTAAATACTTGTCCTGTATTATGTAGAAGTCCTATTTTCTTCTTCCTTCCTTCCTATTTTCTTCTTCCCGTTATTATTATTTTATTTTCCAAAAATGTATTATTTTTTTTTACCAATTTTTTTGTTTTTAATTTTTTTGTATATATCGATGTTTCATTTTTTTTTAATAATTTTAATTTTAATTTCTTCTCAAGAAAATTATGTTTGTAATGGATTATATTCCTAAAGGACATTATGGTTGTGTTCTTTGAAGAAATAAAAAGAAACGCAAAATAAAAATAATATTATTTACTTATAAATTATGATTTCGGAAATTATTTTTTTAGTTTAGAAAGTGGCCAAATAATATAAATAATAATGCAAGGAGTAGCAAGAGTGATTTTGAAGGGCTGAAACAGACCAATTCAGAAAAAAATCATTTAATCTTTATTTGAGTTTGATAGTTAGGTCCATAGAATTTTATGTTTAAAGATTATTTTATTGCAAATATAGTACAATTTTGGCATACTCTTTCTAAAATTTCGGTTGGTATCTCACGAATAAATGCTTCAATGATGTCTTTCAATGCGTCAATTGAAGCTGACTCGTCCGTATAGAAATGAGCTTAGTGAGAACCAAAAAAAAAAAAAAAAACAGTAAAGAAAGTCTTAAAGTCGGGCGGGGCCGACTTTATGATACCCTACACCACTTTGCTAATTGAGTAGAGCTCCAAATAACAATTAAAAGTTTTTATGGGAGAATTCAATCATACACGCTATGATTATAATTATAACTTAAAGTTCAAAGGACTAAATATGCCGAAGAATTTGTATCTTTTAAATTCGGAATTGTATTGCCCATTTGGTGCAAAATTAAT